ATCTATAGATAATCCATTAATTTAATCAACATAGATGATCGGGTTTTTAATCTGTAGATAATCCACTACTTTAATCAACTCCAACAGACGTTCGAGCTTTTAATCTATAGATAATCCATTAATTTAATCAACATAGATGATCGGGTTTTTAATCTGCAGATAATCCACCACTTTAATCAGTTTCAACCGATGATAATTTTCAAACTGAAAATAATCGATCACTGTATTCAACTTCAATATTAGGGGCTGGAATAACCTGGTGATTAGAGCGCTGCACTTGCTATCGGGGGTCGCGGGTTCGAAGCGAGTTCAACGTCTAGATAATCAGTTTCAACTGATGATAGAGTTTTTAATCTCTAGATAATCCACAACTTTAATCAATTTCAACTAATAATAGAGTTTTTAATCTCTAGATAATCCACAACTTTAATCAATTTCAACTAATAATAGAGTTTTTAATCTCTAGATAATCCACAAATTTAATCAATTTCAACTAATAATAGAGTTTTTAATCTCTAGATAATCCACAACTTTAATCAACTCCAACAGATGGGATGACGGTCAATCCCTCTTTTTCTTTGGTAAAAGAAAGTACCCAAGAGTTGGACGTGGGTGATGTTGACAAGCTGTCTTCCCTTTAGTCTAAATTAGGAACTGTTAGCGCAGAGAGCCCTTCAACCAAGAAACAAATCAACTCCAACCGATCAAGTTTTGAATGTGTAGATAACCTATCAGTTTATCTCATATTTAGATCGTGTGTCACATAAGGTGCCGTTGAGGTTGGAAATTCCTTCGATAGTCAAGTTTTAAACGTATAAATAAATCCATCTAATTTTTCTGTACAATTTCCAAACATAGGGACGTATACAATAGTCGACGGCGAAAAAAAAACAGTATTTCAACAATACATTCTTTATGGTTTAAAGTAAACATATTTATTTGAAAACTGTGGGACACCCATCCAAAAGATAGAAATAAAATATTTGTGTTTAGATCAATGTGTCCACTCCTTTCAAATAAATCATGTTTTCTTGCCTCTTGAAATGTTGCTAACGAATAAGTAGAACTTGAAAATTTCCGAGTATAAAACAATATTAAGATTATTATTGCAGTGGGCCGTTTTAAGCATAGGCTGTGGTAATTATGAGACATCTCTAAGATGCTATAAATTATATTTACTAACGAGTAAGTAGAACTTGAACATTCCCAAGTATAAAATAATATTAAGATTATTATTGCAGTGGGCCGTTTTTGTCTTATAATTACCACTAGCCTGTGCTTAAAACGGTCCTACTGCAATAATAATCTTAATATTATTTTATACTTGGGAATGTTCAAGTTCTACTTACTCGTTAGTAAATATAATTTATAGCATCTTAGAGATGTCTCATAATTACCACAGCCTGCGTTTTACTTAAGATGCTATAAACTGTATGCTATTGACTACATGTTGATAATGTGAACGCAATAAAGTCTTTGTCTTGTTATTAGGAAAAATAAAATCATACTTATGTAAATGTGAACATATGTTTTATGAAAGTTATATTCAAAATGTAAAAATGGTCATGCCCTTTTATTGCTACAAAAGTATATGACGGTCACCTTGGTTACTTTTATGTTCTTTAAAGTATCAGATTTTAAAACTAAGCCTGAAATAACTTAACCAATGCCATGCACTGAAAATCTTCTTTTTACACATAAGTTATAGATTTGCACGAATTCTTTCACGAAAAGAACTTGCACGAGGTTTAAAAAGATCACCATAAAAACGTGAAACGTGACTTCGTTTCAAATAAGAATATTTCATTCACCACCTCCCCCAATGCCTGGAAAACCGTCGAGCCATAAAATCACGTGATGAAGCTGAAATACGGGGGTTGAAATAAGATAAAAGACCTTGCACTAAAAGAAAAAAAAAGAGTTTTTAACCCTAAGGAAATGATTGAATAAGTAACTAAACGAACCAAAAATCTTCATGCCTTACTGGTAACGTATTTCCTCTTTCGGAAGCTCAAAATTAACTTATCCTTAAAGCGTGATTTATGCGACATGAATAGCAATAGCATGCATATTGGTCACTAGTTACCTTCTGAATGAACTCAACATATAATAAGAAGACGACATAAAAATTTTTTCTCGAATCAAGAACCCCCAATTCCAAGACCCCATTTCTTTACGGCGTTCTTCTTTTTGGAAATTTTTCCTCTAATCAGTGAACCCTCAATTCCAAGACCCCATTTCTTCACGGCGTTCTTCTTTTTGGAAATTTTTTCGCTAATCAAGGACCCCCAATTATGAGACCCCATTTCTCCACGGCGTTTCTTCTTTTTGGAAATTTTTCCTCTAATCAAGGACCCCCAATTCCAACACGCCATTTCTTCACGGCGTTCTTCTTTTTGGAAATTTTTTCGCTAATCAAGGACCGCCAATTATGAGACCCCATTTCTCTTTTAGGTAAATTATAGGCAGTAATACAAACATAAAGAGGAAGATATAAAACTTGGGAAATATAAACATCATTACATTAGAATAAGTTACCCTGTTTTAACGCAGTGTTTTTAATTCTACTTAGAGGTGGAGTTTCCTTTTTCACGAGTACTTGTTTATTTTTGTTCTTCATTATCTGCGTGTGAAGTTTCCAATACTGAAATGCTGTAACATCTGTTCATGTAAAGGAGGGTTGAGCGTGGCCAAGTAGTTAGCGTGTACAAATAGAGAGCGAAGAGTTCATGGTTCGTGTCCCGTTACCACAAAAAAACCAAAAATCTCGCTCCGCAATGACGGAATAATCTGATCATTAGATCTGACAAGAGTAGCCCAAGAGTTGGCGGTGGGTGGTGTTGACTAGCTGCCTTTCATCGTGTCTACCACTTTAAAATTAGGAAAGGCTAGTCCAGATGGCCTCCGAATAGCTTTGCGCATAATCCAGCAAAACAAATGTAGCTTTAAAGGATTTAAAATTCGATAATGAATACTGATTACAAGTTCCACAGACTTTCCACTCTGGGTTGTTAAGGGAGTCTAGAAATCCACGATGAAAAACAAGGCAGTTTGAGATAAAGTGTAATTCGTTCAGTCATGAAGATTGCGACTAGCAATCTGCGGGTCGCGGGTTCGAATCCCTGTCCCACCAAACATGCTCGCCCTTTCAGCCGTGTAAGCGTTATAATGTGACGATCAATCCCACTACTCGTTGGTAAAAGGGTAGCTCAAGAGTTGGCGGTGGGTGGTGATGACTAGCTGCCTTCCCTCTAGTCTTACAGTGCTAAATTAGGAACGGCTAATGCAGATAGCCCTCGTGTAGCTTTGCGCGAAATCCGAAACAAACAAACAACAACATGAAGATTGCTTACTTGTACTTCTTCCGGAAATATAAAACAATATTATGAAATCTTCTATGCTCTAAAAAAAAACTTGTATAATTATTGAACTTTGTAACTAGGACTAGTAGCACGTTATAAGAACGTGTTGCATATGCTAATACCGTCCGTTTCTCTACAGATGCTACACTTGGTACTATTATATTTTCAAATGAATCACATTTCCACACGAGTATTATACAGCTCTACTTTTTAGTTGTAAGATTGATCAAGAAACTTTTAAAGTGTTTAAGTTTAACTAAATGATTGAGGTTTAGATAATAAAATAAAACGACTGGACGCGTAATGTCCATTAAAACATAATCTGTATTATACGAAGAGCAAAACTAGAGTACGCACATTGAACAGTCGTCTTCTAAAGATCTGTGAATAAATCAACAGCTTTCTTCCCGCGAAATGTCTTCCCGTTGACCTATTTACTGTGTTGACCAAGTTCAACTTATGTGAATTCAACACTCCATACCAACAGAAAACATAGGATTTGTCCATAACGACGCGTTTTCCAACGTGATTGGTCGTTCTCTTAGAATACAATTAAGGCTGTAACCTTTAGATATCATTTACTCGGCCAGAGAAGGACATTGCTGTCGTTGACCTGTCTCAACACACTGTATATACTATCTGCTGAAGAACAACAAAAGACCAGAGGTAGCTAGAACGAAAAAAACTCAAAGGTTTTCTGGACCACGTGTTAATGTGAAAACTGCATAGAATCATACTAAACAACAATTTTTGACAATTAACATATTAGTAAAAAAAGGTAGAAAACACATAGTATGCCTGCATACTATGGCACTATTGATGATATGTTAAGTAGTTATATATTTGATTCCCGACTATGCCGCAACAGATAGAATTATATCTGAAAGAAATGCCACAACCCTTTTCAAAAAAGGATATTTGAATAAAGATATTGTTAGACAATATAGAACTAAAGAACACATGACAAAGATAACCTTTGCTGTTGTCTGTTACACAACAAAATGTGAAACTAAATTGGAGTAACGTCCTCATCAGTAAAGTAAAGGCTCTAGTTCCAAAAAGGAACCTTTTGACTCAAAAAGGGCATTTGAAAAACTTGGAATATTTACTATTAATAAACATGGATTTGACTTTGATGAATGTTCATAAGATTCCATTACTAGATCAGCGTATATTTTCAAGAAAGAGCTGGTACAAGAGCTCCTGAGCTACAGCGACATCTTTCGACCACATTCTTGCCAGTTTTGTTATGTATAACCAATGAACTTTGTGGAAAGTTTGTCAACATTTGTGATTTAATTTGAAAGTGTAATGTTGTGGAATACTGGTAACCATGACAATCAGTTTGAACACGATCCAAGGGAAACTCGTGACCTGGATCAGTGTTCCTATAAAATGTCAGTAACTTCGGTACATCTTCTTCACGGTTTAATTCTGCTAAGTAGATCATGTACACAATGAAATAGTTGAATGAATAGGAAAATAACTGATATGTTGATGCTGAGGGGTAGGGTT